ATATGTTTATCATTTTTAGAAGTAGGTATGTCATTTTCCTAGTACCAGTAAAGATTTCTCAACTGATAACATCACCAATCGCCCTGAAAATTCAGATGTATCCAATAGGAATAAAGGTAAACATTTACATCTATACTTACCTATATTTCTACATCATGCAACACAAAAAATAGGTTTAAGAGTACCTAGGTATTACGGTAGTACTGTTATAGGCGATTATGGTTTTCAACCATCAAGATCAAATATGGATGATTATTTAACTGACGAAGATGCAACGTCTGGGAGCGAATACTTTCCCGATGGAGAATCAAGCGATGACTCGGATAATGAGGTGCTGACTAACATTCGTGAAAAATTATTATCGCAAAGAAATAATGATCCAATGAGGTACTCAAAAACTCCCGAAGATGCTGCACTCATAGACCATGTTACTGCTGATAGTGAAATGGGAAACACAGGAGGAGCAGAAGACCGGGTTTTTGAAGTAAAAAGACAAACTGTGAAGAAGAAGTTATTTGAGTTAAAAGAGAAGACTTCGAGACGTCGTCTTAGGAATCCGGATCAGTGGAAAAGACGGAAAGCTGCAATGGCCGGGACAAAGGGAGAAGAATATTTGTCTCAAACAGGAAAGATTGTGCCACAAAAAGAAATAAACTCTGGATTGTTGTGCAAGGATAAATGCAGGTTAAAGTGCACTGAAAAATTTAACTTAGACGACAAAAAAATAATCTTAAAAAAAATACTATGGTCTTGATATGAATGCGAAAAATGCATTGCTGTTCAAAAGTTTAAATATTAAACCTGTTGCGAGACATAGATTAAACGTAAAGAAACAAAAAACATATACGTTTACATATTCCATTACCTTCAACCAAAAGTCAGAATTTGTTTGCAGAGATGCGATGTGCTCCTTGTATCAGTTTAGCCGAAAAAAAATTGAACTTATACAACGGATGTGAAAGAATGGGCAAAATGCACCAACACCCGACAAAAGAGGTCGTCATGCTAATCGTCCACACAAAATTAATGAACATATTATTGACCGCATTGAAAATCACATCAAAAAATTTCCAGCCGAAGAATCCCATTACTCCAGAAACAAAAATTGTTACAAAAAGTGTTTTGTCGCCTCTATTTACTCTAATGCACAAGTTGTATCTCGAAGAATGTAAAAGAGATGGACTGGAGGAGTGTTTCCATATAACGTTGTCTTCATATAGCAACATATTTTCCACAAAATTTAATCTCTCGTTTGGATATCCACGAAGCGATACATGCAGCGTTTGCGATGCTGGAAAAAATACAGATATGCACACTGAAAATTACAAAGCCGCATTTGCATCCCAAAAGAGAGACGGAGAGAAGCCAATGACTGAAAACAGCATCTGTTACTTAACTATGGATCTCCAGCAAACAATGCCACTGCCCAAATTATCAACAAGTAAAGCATTTTACTTGCGTCAAATGTGGTTTTACAATTTCGGTATTCATTGCATAATTGGCCATGAATCCAAACCATTTTTCTTTAATTGGACTGAAGACATTGCCAACCGGGGGAGTATTGAGATAGCCAGTTGTTTATACAGATTTTCTTAACTACTGAAGGAAACCTACAACCAGATTGACCATTTAATAATTTGGTCTGATTCTTGTGCCGGCCAAAACAAGAACTTCAACATTGTGTCCCTTTATCAACTTTTAATTTTAAATGGATCATTTAAAGTAATAGATCATAAATTTCCAGAGGTTGGACATAGTTACTTAGACTCTGACCGAAACTTTGGTAGAATAGAAAAAAAAACTTAGAAAGGTAGAAAACGTGCCTCGTGCCTGAACAATACCGTGACATTATTCAAAGGGCGAGCACCAAAAATTGTGTTTGTGTGAACATGGAAAATTACTTTTGTAATATTGAAGAACTTCCTGCGCAGTTGCATATTTGGAACAAGTATTAAATGGATCAGGGTTGACAAATTTGGTAGTTATAAATACAAAGAAAGTTTCGACGACTTTACTTCATTCCACAAAGTCGATCTGCTCAAAAAAGGACATAGAGTGGTAAGTGGTAATAACACAGTTACCGTACGACACAGAAAAAAGAGGCGGCTTAACTACAGAAAAACTAAACAACTTACGTGAACAACTACAGTTCGTCAAAGAGGAATATAAATGGTTTTATGAGACCATTTTGGAACAAAATCAAGACAATCCCAAGAAAAAAAGAAAAACCACATAAGATAATAAATCAACTCTGTTATTGATGTTTTTATAATGGAAATAAAACATTTTTGGTTAAATAACACCTTCCTCCATTTATATGTATCACTAGTTTATACATATCACCATGAATGAAGGTGTCATGTACATTCAAAGTTCATTTTCTCCCAACCCACCAATATTTTTTAAAAGTAAAATATGACCCTATAAAATATAAAATGATGTCTCAAATATGACGTTTAAAGAGCTGTAGACATTGAATAAATAACAAAGTTCCAATCTAAAATCTTTAATGTCATTTTTTAGAGAATAATCATTCTGTGACATAACACCTTTATCCACGTGTGTCTTTCAGATGTACAAATTTCTTTGATATGTTTTTTAAAAACCGAAGTACGTTTGTTAAGGATGGCTGTATCTAGGTATTTATATATCTATGTGGGTATATTAAAGTCACTAGATATAGAAAGTACCGCAATCATCCGCCATTTTTGGGCAAATTTGCTGCCAACTTAAAAAAATTGACAAATAAAATCTGAATAGCTGTCATTTTTTATAACCTCACTTCATAGTACTGTCATGTTTTATAAAAATATATACAGATATCTCCAAACAAGTGGAACAATCCCTAACATTAAAGTTACTAGAATCTGGTAACTTCCGCCATTTTTGGGCAAAAATCATGCGTTCTTTCTCTAACACACGAGCCCAATGGATTGCGGCACTTTCTATATTTAGTGACTTTAGGCACAGATCTACACATACACAGATTGCTAAAGGCCGCTTGACATGGAGCAATACTACGCGCAAGAACTTGCAGAAAGAAATTGCAAGGTCAAATCCTTGCATGCAATAAGCATTGCATGGTATTTGACATGGTGCAATTCTATTTCAATTGCCACATGTCTGCCAACAGAAGAATCATATGGATTTGTCAACAAAGTTGTTAACCTCAAATGAAAATTAAATTTTGATTGCTTGAAGAAACATGAAAATTACAAGAATAAATAAGATTAGTAAAAACAAGTAATGAGTGCGTCTCTCAGCATCACAGTTGCCGCCGCTGTATTTTACTAGGTTGGTGCCACAAAAACAACTAGATTGATCCCTAGAATTGCACGATTCATGCAAGAAAAATAGCACCGGTCCTATAAAAATTGCATGCAAGTCTCTTGCAGCAATTGATCAGCTGGCTTTGAACTGCGCATGCCTTTCGCAATTTTTCTTGCAACTTGCATGCAATTGCAATTTTTATTGCTCCATGTCAAGCGGGCTTAACCTTATGCATTTTTTGGGAAACAAATTTAGGTATACTTAAAGGCGCCCTCTATTGTGGAGCAGTATAAACATGTATCGTTTAAAACTGTAATATGACGCTTATGGATTTATGCGTTAGATGTCGCTGACACAAAATTAAAGCGCTAATGTTTGCACAATTCGAATTCCTTAATATTCATATTATTACAGTGATATGATATGATAGGAGGGACGCTGAGCCATAATTGTTTAATTTAACACTGGAGTTACTCATTCGTCGTAAAGGGGTTATTAAGCGCGGGTACCTGTGGTCACAGATACACACGAACATAGGGCAGCTTCTTAAAGAATCGTGAAGGTTTTTTGAAGTTGGCGGAAATTATTTGCAGCTTTAAAGGTCTTGACAGATTGCTAACCGCAAAGGTTTACTTAAAAACTATGTATATCTCTGCCATAATTAACGTTACACTCTTTACCTCGGCGATAAGATTTGGAATACGTATGTAGGTATACATATATGATCTCTTGAATACGTGTCTATAAACAAATCACAAAATAAATTCACAGATTACAAATATCAAATGCCAAAAATAACGAATTCGAATTATGCACACTTTACCGCTTTAAATTTTTTGCAGCGACATCTAATGCATAAATCCATAAGCGTCATATTACAGTTTTAAACGGTACATGTTTGTATTGCTCCGCAATAGAGGGC